CAGAGTTGCTCTGCCCCAGGCTTCCTGGAATCAGCCGCTGATCAGTTTCAGCAGCAGCTGACTTGGGGACACCTGGGTTTCTTAAGCTGAATCTGTATGTAAGTCAGAACTGGCGTCCAGATTCAGCCGCAGTTGAAACTGATCAGTTTCAGCAGCGGCTGACGCCAGTTCCGACTTACATACAGATTCAACTTAAGAACAAACCGACAGTCCCTATCTTGTACGTAACCCGGGGACTGCCTGTATATGTAAAAAAAAGTGTCCTGTGTAATGACAGCATGACATCACGTCACTCTGCATCCCGCCTGCCTCCTCCCTCCCTCTCATTTCCCCAGTGCTTGGCTGCCCAGAGCATCCCCCCTCCTCAGAAGGGGCTGAAGCCACAAGCCGCATGGCCTTTCTTCTCCCACCCTCCTGGTGCTCTGGTGGGAGACCGAAACTGGGAGCTGCGTGGCTGCTCCCTTCTCCCCTGTCCTGGGTGGGGGATAAAGCCACGGACCTTTCCCCTTCCCAGCCTCCTTTGTACATCCCCTAGGTTGGAGGGAGAGTGGCAGCTGGGGGGTGAGAGAGAGCTGGGGTGGGCCCTCCCCTGTGGCCATGGGGAGGTGGAGCTGCTTGGCTTTCCTCTTCCCCTCTCCCCAGTGCTCAGGGGGGAGAGCCACAAGGCCTTCCCCCACCCCAGTACTTCGTGGGGTGGGAAGGAAGCTACGCAGCCTCCCCAGGGCTGGGGGGGCGGGCAGGAGTGGTGCGGCCTCCCCCTTCTCTGGTGCTTGGGTGGAGAGCCCCGTGGCCTTCTCTGTCCCCCTACTGGTGCTCGGGGTGGGGTGTGACTGGGAACTCCTCAGCTTCCTCTCTCCCTGGTGCTCCCTCCCCTTCTCTCCCTGGTGGCCTGGGGAGGGAAGAGGAGGGTTGGTAAGAGTAGTGAGCAGGGGGGGTGCAGCCCCCTAGTAATTTTAATTGTTTAACCAGGTAACTGCTTTAATGGGTATTTACATCCCTAGTGTGGAATAAATAATTAAATCTATGTATACCATACTGATGCAAAAGACGGAGAGGGAATGATTCTGAGGGTTCAATGATCTGAGCCAAGACTGATTCTGATTAAAGGAAAGTCAGATGGTTTTTACAGTATCATAAGTAAAAAAATCCTCTTCAGTGTCTTGAGACATATGTACATGATCGCTCATAAACACCATTGAGGGCTCTGAGTATTTTTATTAGCTCCTTTCTTCATTGTCATGTAACTTCTCTGATAAGTTTGTCAGACAGACAGGTTCCAATTAAAAAGCCATGTAAAATAAAAGTTTTAATCTCATGAACAGCTAACATAAAAAAAACCCTGTATCTAGTCACAAGAAGCAAACAGACTATGGTTTTGTGTGTGGCTAAGCAGTCTTAATCATGTCATATTCAAATGTCTGTAAAGAGAAATAGGGTTCATGGGAGGTGGATCTTATAAGTTCTGTGACACCATAAACCAATTGTGTTGTATACTCTTTAACAGTTCTGAGCTGTAACTGTTTCAAAACTAATATTCTTTCTTTTCTGACTTTGGAAAATCTTGGATCTGAAGTGGAAGCCAAGGTGAGTTTGTTCAGTGTTAAGTGCTGTGCATGGCTGCTATTCTATTTAACAGTTCCTAATGACTTCTGTTGCTACTATTTTTAAAGCTTAGTGCTCCAATGTAATGTTTTGCATAAAAGCAAATTGCCAACTGTTATTTATTTTATTTAGTGTTTTGTGTGTCAAGAGTTTAGAAAGTGCTTTATGCGTTAGAGTGGTCAGTTTGAGACAACTCAAAGGTGCCGTATTTTCAGAGGGGGAGTTATTTAGCTTAAAAAAGAAAAGAGTCTTTAAAAGTCACTTATTGTGCAGGCCCTGTCTCATAGCTGCTCTTCTCTGGACTTTTCCATTCTCTGCTACATCTGTCTTGATGTGAAGTAACCAGCGTTAGACATTATGCTCTACATGAGAAATTTTTTCTTTGGCACATCATTAGATTAGTTTCCTTTTTTTAATGCCCATGCTGTACACATTTTTAAACATATATTGAAGTCTGGGTAGGTTTTTTATTTTCTTATATGTCCCTACTCCTTGCTATACTCTTCCTTCTACTTCCTGTGCTGATGGGGGTTGTCATGGTTTATGTAAAAAGGGGACCAGGAAACCCTAACTCTCTTCACCTCCAAAGGGACTTCTCTTTCTGGATTGAGGTGGAGTTGTTAGAGAGCATGGATTCCTCCATAGTGTGTAACTAGTGCTTTTATTTTACATTCTACAGATGAAATTCCACTTAGTCATCCAAAAAGAAAGAAACCCAAAGGAAAAAATGCACTGGGTAAGAAGCTGCCAAGAGTGAAAGATATATTTGGAATGCTGGAGGAACTCTGTACTGTAGCCAGTACTCTCTTCCTCCTGACTGGGGTTTTTCTGGGCTGCGAAATTCCTTCCATACACTGTGATTCCCTAGCTAGTCAAATTCCCTTAGCAGGCCTGCTTTGCTTTCCCCGAAGAGGCTATGAACATATAATTTCCTAGGTAGATGTTATCACCCAGTCTTTTCTGAACAAGCACATATATTTTTATAGTGACACTATTATAGAGAAAACATATTAAAAACAATAAAATAATTTCACACATGGTAATAAACTTACCAGAGGTCACCTCATGGGATTTTCTGTGATTATAAGTTTTTAATAGTTGTTTTCACAAAACAAGCACCCCTATACATTGGTTAGCCTTTCCTTCTTACAGCCTCTGAGTCTTCGATCTTCAGAAACTATAAACAGGTAATAAGTGAACCAGTGGATATCTTCTTAGGGCATAGTTTCAAAAAGCTGGGTCCCAATGTGGAGATTTGCATTTCCCTTACGCTATATATTTTCTAAAAAACTCAATTAACTTTGTTGGTCCTGAAGGTTCTGTCTTTTCTGTTATGTTGTTTAAAATAATCCTTTGATGCACCTAACATTTACCAGGGTTTCGATAATCTATTTCTCTGCTCTGGAAATGCTGTAATTCCACAATAATGCATAAACTTGCATTTATAGAATAATGGACTCTTAAATGCAATTCAATAAGATCTCTCAAAGATATAGTAGGAAATTGCTATACCTGTCACTGTTTTTTTTAATACACTGTGGGTTTTTTTCTGAAGTGGTATTAACTAGAAATATCCTAATGCTAAACTCACTGAGTTTTCCCCCTCCATTCTGGATATTGATAAAGCAGCAAGTACTGACACAGCATTGAAAAATAGCTTGATTTTTTTTCTTGCTATTTTTTCTCTTCCTGATTACCTCAGTTGCTTGGGTTCTTGAGAATAGACAGTCATTCACAGCCATGATATACTTTTCAAATAGTAAAATGATCGAAGTGCTCCGAATTCTGAATGGACTCAACACAAATCCAAATAGGGATATAAATCCCATTTAATCAGGCAGATGGATTGTCCACAAAGTATGTTCCATTGAATTCCACAAGGTAGCTAAACAGAGGGAGAGGACATATAAAGTGCAGGTATGCCTTAGTTGCCTTCCCAGGAAGACTTATCGTATCATTGAACTCATTTTTTTTCCTATCTTGCTTTTCAGAGGGTATTGTTCATGCAACTGTCCGTCGACCATCTGAGAGTAGTGAACCTCTAACACCTGAGGTTCAGGATGCTCCACCGCAAAGAAAACGCAAGAAGAAGAGAATGCCTCCTGGTATGTGGAGAGTGACAGAAAGGATGAAAGATGGATTTAGGCCTGGCAGCATAAAGTCTCATTAGCTCACTTCTTTAAATTTCTGTTTCTTAATCTATTAGAAGTACATCTAAATTGATGACAGGCCCAAGTCTTCACTGACTCCAGGGAGTTATACCAGAAAAAATTCTTGTCAACAAAGCATTAAGTTGAGAAGTCCAACTCAAATGTCACAGGGTTCTGGATATTCTACTGCAGTGATAACTCTGCCATCTTGCACCTATGTAGAATCTTCTGTTCCTGTTTATCTTGTTAAATATGAACCATATTTTATTACTGCTGCTAGGTTTTATAACCTAGGCAATAAAATATATGCATATATAATGTGAATTGAGGCCAAATCAGTATTCTAGTTGAACTTACATTTTGTAATTTCCTGAGTGTTTAATGTTCCAGTGTTTCATTATTGCTTTTTTAAAAATTTGAATGCTCTAATTTAGTCAATCATTAAATCAGCAATCTTGTAATATTTTTTAGGATATTATATTATTCAGGTAGCTATTTTCAGTCCAAAAGAAACACATTGAGGTATCTGGATCTGCTAAAAGATTTCAAGTACAGTAAACTTCCGATAATCCGGCACCTTTAGGACCCAGGGGGAGCCAGATTATCAGATATGCCGGAGTACTGGAAGGTGGGCTATGAGAGGTTGGGAGGGAGGGAGGGCGGTTGGCAGTGTACTGCATAGGTTGGGAGAGGGCGGCGCTGCGGGACCAACCCGACAGGACTACAGCTGCTCTGCCCCTAGCTTCCCCAAGTCCATTGCTGCTGAAACTGACCAGCGGGGGACTTGGGGAAACCGGGGGTAGAGCAGCTCCAATTGTCTGGCTGGCCAGAGCTCTTCCGGGTTCCAGTTGGTGCCAGACTATCAGGAGTGCTGGACCACTGGATGCCGGACAACCAGAGTTTTACTGTATGTGAAATAGCAGCGGTCCAGTCTTAAGTGAAAACCTTCATACCACTTTAACTGTGTAGTCGCCTACGATCCCTCATACACACAGGTGGCCCCAAAAGTGCTGCTTAGAAACCCACTAGAATATGCAAGCATTAACAATGTTTACCCTTTAGAAGAGCTCTAGTGCCAGATTTATCATTGTCTCACTGTGTAGTCTTGGGTGAGTCACTTAACCTACTATTTCTCAGTTTTTTCAGATGTAAAGAGAAATAATGATTTTTTTGCTAAGCCCCCTGCAGTCTTTGGATGAGTGCCAAGTATAATTATAAGGAATTATAATGACATTTATTTGTGTAAGTAGGATACATTTTTAATTAAAAAGTAGATGATGATTGGGTTAGATAGAGCACCTCCAAATCTAGCTGTGAAAAGAAACAGATAACCTTTTACATTTGTTCAGTGAAAATAATAAAATAATATAAGAGCTTTGATTATTTCTTTGAGTGAAAAATAGAGAATAGCTTTCCGGATTTAATATTTTTGATGAGATAAACAGCACACGCGGTCCTTACTGTTGCTTTGTAAACATTTTCCACTGGAAACACTGGAGACATTCCACAGAGATTTTAACAACCTACACCCCACCATCAATCTCAGCCTGGACCATTCTACACGAGAGATCCATTTCCTGGACACCACAGTACAAATCACTAATGGTAAATTAGACACCACTCTCTACAGAAAACCCACTGCCTCATACAGTTACCTACATGCTTCCAGCTCCCATTCAGAACACACCATACGATCCATCATTTATAGCCAAGCCCTTCGATACAACCGCATCTGCTCTAATCCTACTGTCAGAGACCAGAAACTTCAGGATCTCTACCAAGCATTTATAAACCTCAACTACCCACCCGGAGAAATAAAAAAGCAAATTGAAAGAGCCAGACGAATACCTAGAAACCATCTACTTCAAGACAGACCCAAGAAAACCAACAATAGAACACCACTTGTCATCACCAACAGCCCCCAACTTAAACCTGTCCAACACATTATCAATAAACTACAGCCTATACTGGAACAGAATACTAAACTCCGAGAGACTCTGGGAGACAGACCCATAGGCTATGTCTAGACTGCAGGCTTCTTTCGAAAGATGCTCTTTCGAAAGATCGCGTCTAGACTGCGCGCGGATCTTTCGAAAGAAAAATCCACTTTTTCGAAAGAGAGCACCCAGCGAGTCTGGATGCTCTCTTTCGAAGACGGCCTCTTTACATTGAAGAACGCCTTCTTTCGAAAGAGGAACTTTCGAAAGAAGGCGTTCTTCCTCGTAAATTGAGGTTTACCGCCATCGAAAGAAAAGCCGCGTTCTTTCGAAATAATTTCGAAAGAACGCGGCTTGAGTCTGGACATACTCCAAGAGGCTCTGGGAGACAGAGCCATAGTCTCCTATAGACAACCACCTAACCTCAAGATGATTCTTACCAACAATCACAGGACATACCACACTAATACCAACCCTGGTACCTTCCCTTGCAACAAACCCCGTTGCCAGCTTTGTCCACATATTCACTCTGCTGATACCATTATTGGACATAACCAAGTGAGTTATAAGATCAAGAACACATATTCCTGCGCATCCAGAAATATAATTTATGCTATCATGTGCCGAAAGTGTCCATCTACTATGTTCATTGGACAGACGTCTCAGACACTTTGCCAAAGGATCAATGCCCACAAAACAGATATTAGACAGGATCACAAAGAAAAAACAGTTTCTTGCCATTTCAGCCAGAAAGGACATTGTCTCAACGACTTGATTACCTGCATCCTGCTTCAAAGACCTTTTCAGACCACACTTGAAAGAGAATCCTATGAACTGTCATTCATGCTTAAATTCGACACTTTACACTTAAGTTTAAACAAAGACATTAATTATCTTACCCATTACAAAGATAGCTTCCCCAATTATCACCTCTAATATCAGTAGCTCACAGACATTTACCTCCCCTCCCCATTCCCCTTCTGTTCTGAAATTTGATTTGTCCTTTTCATATGTGTTCATTTTTTAAAATTGTATCCTTTGGTATACAGGCAGTCCCCGGGTTACGTACAAGATAGGGACTGTAGGTTTGTTCTTAAGTTGAATTTGTATGTAAGTCGGAACTGGTACATATTGTAGGGGATACTCTAGCCAAACATTTCTCCAGAGCTCAATTTTATTCTCCCACACCTCACTTCCCTCAGTCCTTTATTCTCAAGCTGAGGTGTCTGCTGAGAAAAGCCGCTCCGCGTCTCCCTGGTCTGCTGGGGGCGGGCGCTAGCTTCGCGTCTCCCTGGTCTGCTGGGGGGAAGCAGCTAGTGCGGGGTTGCCTCACCCCGTTTGTAAGTAGGGATGCGATGTAAGTCGGATCCATGTAACCCAGGGACTGCCTGTATATGGTTGTGACAATTTTCTTCCACTATTTGATCTGAGGAAGTGGGACTGGCCCACGAAAGCTCATCACCTAATAAACCATCTTGTTAGTCTTTAAAGTGCTACATAGTCCTGTTTTTTGTTGAAAATGTTGCTTTGTAAACATATAACACTTTAGTTTACTGGCACGATACTACAGCACACAATCACTGTTCCTAAATTGCTAGCTGTATATTAAAAGATAAATAGGTTAACAGTTGTCACAAGATTAATTGGAAACATTACATTTTGGAAGAGGAGAGCAATAGGTGATCCTGTGATAACATTTTGCATTAGCCAAACCTCAGAACACGGTGCTTTTTAGTCATAATGAATGCCCTATAGTTATACAAATGTCATACTGCATGTGTTTCCTGTTCTGTTGTAGCTTTCAGACAGATTATTTTTGGTTTTCTTTTAAATCTTCAGAATCTGAGACCTCTTTCACCCAGCAGAACATGCCCAACACATCCTTTTTTCAGAATGGAAATGGCATGGATCCCCAGCCCTCTGAAGAAACAGTGATTCGTAAACCCCGGAAAAAAACAAAGTGAGAACTTCTAAGGTGCCTTATAATTCTTACCACCAAATACGTATGGTAATGTGTTAATATATGCTAGTATATAAGCTTTGATCCTGAAAAGACATGACATGCCTAGAACTACTCACGGTATGCAAAGATAGCAGGTATCTAAATGTAGTGTCAGGGACTAATTTTGTTTTTTAAATCCATGTTCATAGTGAATGCTAAGAACTTAATATAAGAAATATTAAGGTGGGTTTTTGCAATATATTTATTTATTGATTTAAAAAAAATCTACACAACAGTTGTGAACATTGCATTTATATTATAATGTTTAAGTTACCGTATATACTCGAGTATAAGCCGACCCGAATATAAGCCGAGGCACCTAATTTTACCACAAAGAACTGGGAAAAAATATTGACTCAAGTATAAGCCTAGGGTAGGAAATGAGGCAGCTACTGGTAAATGTAAAAAATGAAGATAGATACCAATAAAATTACATGAATATTTATTTCAAAGAAAAACAATAACCTAGCTCTGTAAGTGGAAAAGGGGGTCAACAAAAACAATATGGTATCAAAAATACCGTAACTTTAAAAGTACAACAACCTTAGCTCAATCAGCAACCAAGCTAACACACAAGAGCTAAAATCCTTCAAAACTGGAGTTCTCCTCCTCATCATCTGTATGTCCAAACAGAGCTTCAGCTGGTGTGAGGTTATCAGCATAGACATTGTCATCATCACTGAGTTCACAGTCATCACCATCACTGCTGTCGTTCTCATACAAAGCGCTGTCTTCACTGCCATCCATAGCATTACTAATGCCACATTTCTTGAAGGCGCGTTGCACCAGGTCCTCTGGAATCTCTTCCCATGCATCACGAACCCACTGTGCTATCAATTCTATGTCTGGCTTCCTCAGATTTCCAACTTTTGTCAGTCGAGCTTGACCAGATGACATCCATTCATGCCACATCTTTCGCACACGGTCTTTGAAAGGTTTATTTAAACACACATCTAGGGGCTGCAATACAGATGTAAGCCCACCTGGAATAACTGCCAAAGTAACTTGAGAAGACTTTGCCAATTTTTTTATGTCATCAGATGTGTGGGCTCTGAACATATCCCAAACTAGCAATGAAACCTTAAATTAGTTAAATTAAACTTAAGTTACATACAGTTGCGTCTCGATTATCCGACCTAAATGGGACTGGAGGATGGTCAGATAAAGGAAATGTCGGATAATACGGAAAATTCTTTTAATACAGTAATTAATTTTATAAATTTGAACTTTGTAATACCTTGCAAGGTCCAGTTTTAAACCTCCTGAATCTGCTGCCTTGACCAGCCCTTGTATTTCTCCCCAAACGGGAGTAAGATCCAGGGCTCTGCCTTGCGGCGGGAACACAGTGCTCGCTCTGCACCACTCTATGTCCCCTAGCGATGATGTGACCGATGATGTGACGCAGGGCAAGGCGCTCGCCACTTTCCCCAGAAACAGAAAATGGTAAAAAAGCTACTTTGCTGACAGCAAATTCTTCAGCCACAAGAGGGAGCTGCAGACTTGCTAACCAGAGCTCCCGCCCAGCCCTGGAACAGAGGAAAGGGAAAGGGAAAGCAAGGACAGCTTTCCCTGGAGCTCTTTGCCATGACATGACATGACAGGTGGTACATCGGGTAACATGGAATGTCGGATAAATCAAGGTCGGATAATTTTGACTTTACTGTACATTTAAAAAAAATAGATAATATAGTCTATCTCTGCACTAGAGTGCTTTAATGGTATAAGAATACCACTATATCATACTGGCGGAAGAGACTCTAGTGTGGATTCAGCAATACTGGCGAAGTTGTGCTTTGCACTGGTATAATAAAACTACTTCCTACAACTAAAACAGCCTAGACTAGTAAAAGTGTGGATTTCTGCTAGATTCGAACAACTGTGGAACAATGGTGGTCAGGAATTGCACCTTTTCACACCCTTGATTGATATAGGTAGGAGTCTTTAGTGTGAATATAACCTAATAATTTGATTTCTGCTTTTCTTTAACTTTCCCTCCTATTTCTTAGCTTTGTCAGAACATTATATTGGTTATTTATTTTGTGTCCATTTCCTTCAGCTTCTGAACACTTTAAACACTTTTGCTTCTCTTTCAGCCTAAAGATTTTAATTTCTTTAGCCCGTAACTTATTTGTTCTGTATTGTTTTCTATTACAATAATCTTTTCATGTCTGTCTTTTCCCACATCAGTAATTTATGTAGTAGTCAGGAGTCACCATTATAGTGCCTTGACAGGTCTTCTGCTCTGTCAGGCTGTCTCTTTCAACAGAGGGATGTAAATTAGACACTTTGAAATTGCAAATGAAGCGGGGATTTAAATATACTGTGCTTCATTTGCATAAGCATGTAATGGCTCTCTTTCGAAAAAGCGCCATTTTGAAAGTAAAACCGTGGTCTAGGGTTTTTTTTCGAAAAAGCCTTTGCTCCTCAAAAAATGATCTTTCGAAAAAGCCTGCCATTTTCAAAAGAACCGGAACGAGACCATTTTACTTTCGAAATCACCCTTTTTTGAAAGAGCACCATTATGCGATTATGCAGCTGAAGCGCAGGATATTTAAATCGGTGCTTCATTTGCAATTTTGAAGAGTTTAATTTACATCCCTCTGTTGAAAGAGGGATGTAGTCTAGACACAGTCTCAGTGAGAATAACTACTTGACTTTGTGCAAGTAATCAACACAGCAGACTCCAAGAAAGCCCCCAAACACCACAAAATCAGATGATTGAAGGTGCCCAGCCAGGTTTATTGTCAAACGAAGTACAGTAGTAGTTGTCAGTAGAATCTACTGAACCACTATGCATATGTACTCCCTGACAATGGACCCAGTTCAGTCAGTGAGACCTCCCACTGACCCCAAGGCCAGATAAAGACAGTCCCTCCAAGATATCACTTTGTATACAGATACAAACAAGTTGCATATCACTCCTGATGTATCAGTTATCACTTTCTGATGTTACTTAGATATCACCCTGCACCTGGTGTTTTGATCAAAACGTCTCTATCCATCATTCTGTCATTTTAGACTCTGTCCTAAACCTGGGTGGGAATGTCCCTGTTATCTGTGGGGAGTGAGTGGGAACCAAGGTCCTTTTTAATGAAGTGTTACCACCATCCTTTTGGAATGTACTTTCAGTCTCATTTACTGTTTTACAGCCCATATCTAATACCAATTACTGTTCTATACCTGTGCCTATTACCAGTTAGTGTTTTACACTATCAGCCCTGTTCATGCCAAGTTCTGTGAGCAGGGGCCTGCCTCTTGCTCACAACTTAGCTTTGCTTTATACAGGCAGTCCCTGGGTTACGTACAAGATAGGGACTATAGGTTTGTTCTTAAGTTGAATTTGTATGTAAGTCGGAACTGGCTCCAGATTCAGCTGCTGCCACTGAAACTGACCAGGGGCTGACTACAGGACGCCAGAGGCAGAGTTGCTCTGCCCCCAGCTTCCTGGAATCAGCCTGATCAGTTTCAACAGCTGCTGAATCTGGAGCCTGGGACAGAACAGCTGGGGCGCTGCCCGGTAGGTTCCCACAGGACCAACCCGGCAGCACCCCAGTTGCTCTACCTGAGGCGTCCCGCAACAAAAGCCTGGTCTGCTGGGGGGGAGGCACACTAGCTGCACCCCCGCTGGGTCCAGCAAAGCCGCTGGAACCCCCCCCCCACAGCAGACCAGGGACACCAGAACAAAGCTGCCGCGTGGGCGGCTTTGCTCGTTTGCCCGGGAACAAAGCCGCCCAGGCGACGGGACCCCCCGCGTGCTCCGCAGCTTTGCTCCTGTCCCCCTGGTCTGCTGGGGGGGTCCAGCAAAGCCGCTGGACCCCCCCAGCAGACTAGGGAGACCGGGAGAAGCTTTTCTCACCCCGGAGGACACGGGTGGTGACCCGCCGCCCGTGAGCTCCGGGGCGAGAAAAGCCCCGTTCGTAAGTGCGGATCCGACATAAGTCGGATCCGCGTAAGTCAGGGACTGTCTGTATTAGCAAAGTCTTGACCATGGTTGGCTAGGCCTCAGGCCTGTGTTACATGGGTTTATGTTTCAGGTCCTCATCTTACTGACGTTTGTCACAAAACAAAACTAAAATAATAAAACAGGCATTGGGGATTAGCTTGATTATGGTGATTTTATGTTTAGGGTTGTAAAATTTCAGTTAAGTGGCTAATTGAATAGTCAATAAGGGTGCTTCTGTCTTTGAAGTATAGCAATGATCCCAGGGCTGTTGCTACATTTCAAAGGCAAAAACACTGAGGGGAGCATGGAGCCAGCAGGGGACTCAAGCAGTTCCCCACTGGTCCATTGCTCTCCACAGCGTTTCAAAGTGGCAATGCCACATGGAGCTTGAGGTCAGCTGGGGAGTTCCCAGCTGTCCCCAGGCTCCGTGCGGCGCTGCCCCCTTTGAAATGCTGCAGGGAAGCAATCCCTTCTTCTCTTCCCCCCCATCCCCGCTGCCTCTTTCTGATAGAGGCGGCAAGTGGGAGGAAGTGACTAGTTGATTAGAATGTCGATTAGCCACCAGTCATAAGAACATAAGAATGGCTGTACTGGGTCAGACCAAAAGTCCATCTAGCCCAGTAGCCTGTCTACTGACAGTGGCCAGCACCAGGTGCCCCGGAGAGGGGGGACCAAAGACAATGATCAAGCAATTTGTCTCTTGCCATCCTTCTCCAGCCTCTGACAAACAGAGCCATTTCTATCCCCTGGCTACTAGCCTTTTATGGACCTAACCTCCATAAATAGTCATTCACATGCCTATTTATGCTTCAGTAAAGAAGAATTTTAGGCCTTAATCATGAAAGCAATTGCATTCAGAAGAAACTTTTATATTTGTGAGTAATCCATACTATTCATACCAGTAAAATCAGGCATATGCTTAAGAGTTTACACTAGTAGACCATTAGTCTTTAAAGCTTTAGTCATTGTTCTTTCTCTCTTCTCATATCTCGAGATGATAGGAAGACTCGGCTAGCAGAAGTGCAATGTTCCAATGAACTCGGAGTGGAGGAAGAGGACATTATTGAGGGTGAACAAACAAAAAGACCAGATCAGCAACCTGTGTTTGCTGCTCCCACTGGTGGTAGCCAGCCTGTGAGCAAAGTGTTCGTTGAGAAAAATCGTAAGTAATTTCTCATTCTTTTAACTTCAAACATTTTTAGTAACAATGAAAAAGTTAATACTGTTTAAAAAAGAGTTGTCCAGATATATATTTTTTGCTGAAATAGAAATTACAACATTAAAACCACTTGAGCTTGTAGCCTTACATACATTTTAAAAAATATATCTCATTTCTGCAGATGTGTAATTTGGACTTAAAATATATCAACGTGTATCTGAAGGAAAGCATTCTTTCTAAAAATGGCATGCACCCCAAAGTTAACTTCATGGAATGCTAGAATTACTGTTGTGCTTGTCTTCACAGAAGTCCCACAAGCAGTAGTTTTTTAATCACAGAGTCTTCTGACCCTGATCCAAGCATGTCTAGATGATGTAGATTTGTTTAATAAGTATTTTCAGTGTTGCTACCTTGGTAAGAAATTTTAGGAGAAACATAACTATAAGGAAGACCTGTTTGTTCATATGCTTTCTGAATACATGGGATTTCTAAAGTGTGGTCTGCATTAGAAGGTCTTACTGGCAAAACTTTATTCAGCAGAGCTCTGCATGCATCCACCCTAAACACTGAGTCCAACCAACAAAGGTCTGAAATTCTGCTGGCAAAATTAAACCAATTTTCCAAATCATATAATTATTAGTATAGTAATGTAGGGAGAATGCCATACAGAAATAATAGAATAATAGAACTGGAAGGAACATCGAGAAGTCATCAAGTCCAGTGCCTTGCGTTGATGATAGGACTATGCACCATCTTCTATATCATGATCAGCCCTGACAGGTGTTTGTCTAACCTGCTCTTAAAAATCTCCATTGGTGGAGATTCCATAAACTCCCTAGGCAATTTATTCCAGTGCTTAAGCACTCTGATAGGAAATTTTTCTTGATGTCCAACCTAAACCTCCCTTGCTGCAATTGAAGCCCATTGTTTCTTGTCCTTTCATCAGAATTTAAGGAGAATAATTTTTCTTTCTTCTCCTTGTAACTTCCTTTGAGATACTTGAAAGCTGTTATCCTGCCCCTTCTCAATCTTCTCTTCTCCATACTAAGCAATCCCAGTTCTTTCAATCTTCCCTCATAGGCCATGTTGTCTAGAGCTTTAATTATTTTTGTTGTTCTCCTCTGGACTGTCTCCAATTTGTCCACATCTTTCTTAAAATGTATCCAGATCTGGATACAATACTTGAGTTGAGTCCTAATCAGCACAGAGTACAGTAAATACCTGTGCCAGCAAATGTGGCCTTCCGACAAGGATCCCACAATGCAGCTGTCCCAGCAGCTGTGACGTCTCTGGTCAAATTTTTGAACTCTGCTAAACAGGGCTTGCAATGACTAGAAGCCTGCCTCCCATTTAAATATGACAGCAGGTTTTGCAAATATTTCTTAACCTGTCTACCATCTCAGCAAGCACTCTTGTATAAGCAGGATGCGAACTAAACCTTGGGCTGCTACCTGTTCCAAGAAAAAGATCCTGAATTCCCTCAGTCTTTGAAGGGGATGGAGCAGTGCAGGCAGAGCTCTGTGTTCCCACAGGGATCAAGATGATATTGGTCAATATACTGATATTGCAAAGGAGATGCAGAAGCAGCAGGGCACAACTAAGATGAGGGCTTGTGCCAGGCAAAAGAGAAGGAACTTACCTTTTTCTTTTGTATCAGAGGGGTAGCTGTGTTAGTCTGAATCTGCAAAAGCAACGAGGAGTCCTGTGGCACCTTATAGACTAACAGATTTATTGGAGCATAAGCTTTCGTGGGCAAAGACCCACTTTGTCAGATGCATGCTTATGCCCACGAAAGCTTATGCTCCAATAAATCTGTTAGTCTATAAGGTGCCACAGGACTCCTCATTGCTTTTTTTAAAAGAAAAAGGAAGGCAACAAAAAGTTTGACACTGCTCCCAAGAGCTGCTGATAATATCTAGAGGTCTGTGCCACGCAGAACATCCACAACTCAGCCACCAGTGACAGAGGGCACTTTGCATGTTATAGATCAGGGCACCCTGGAACTGCAGACCAAAGAGGTGCTTTCTGAGGAGGGGTATGTGGATGATCCACGGCTTAAACCAGGACCTCTTTGACACCATCTGAACCTACAGAGCTAGCTGATCACTGACGACAGGGACAGGGACTCGTGAGGATGTAATTTACTGCCCCTGTTAATCCACGCCATTGTTTTACTTTCTCCAGGGCCCTCTAGGAAGGGGAGATCACTACCTTCTGACCCTCTCAGATTGGCAACCAACTGTGCACAGACCAGGGAAAAAAGGAACTCTTAAAATAGCCAGTTTATTTCAAGTGCCTGAACTGTCAGTAGTAAGTGATACAAACTGAAAGAATCAGGATATAGCAGTCAAAACCATTTCCAAATGCATACTTTTGCCAATTCTTTTGCTGGCAATGCTTGACAATAACTATGTACAATTCAATTCACTACAAACAGAAAAAATACTTGCACTGACTGTAAGCGACACACAGCCCAATAAGTATCGGGGGTAGCCATGTTAGTCTGAATCTGCATAAACAAGGAGTCCTGTGGCACCTTGCAGACTAACAGATTTATTGGAGCATAAGCTTTTGTGGACAAAGACCCACTTCCTCAGATGCATGCATGAATCTGACAAAGTGGGTCTCACGAAGTGGGTCTTTGCCCATTAAACTATAAATCTGTTAGTCTGCAAGGTGCCACAGGACTTCTTGTTGTTTAACCCAATGAGTGAACATTTATGCTATGTGATTTTGCAGAAAATCCATTATGAACTGATTGGATGCAGGATTTCAAATCTAAAACATATTATTTACATCAAGTTTAGAAAAGGGATAAAACAGTGGGAGGGGAAAGAGGGTTTTGACATGGGCAGGTTCACTTGCTATCCAGATGTCCCAGGGGTCTTTTACCACTTTTGGAAAAGACCATTTATCTTTAGCTTTTTGGTCCCCAGTAACATGTGAGTAGTTTTGGACATTTCTAAGTGAGAGGCATTTCTCTCATCATGGTAGAATAACTTTTCAGAGTACTCTGTCAAGACATCTTGAGGATCATCACTGTCATGTACTGAGCTATAAGAGAGGAGCAGGGAACAGAATCAGGAGATGTGCCCCATTTATCACCCCACCATGGTTAGGAAATTATAGATGGATTCTTCCCTACATATTGCTCAGAGTCACAGTCCAGTGCAGCAGGATGTACTTAATGGCCTTCACTCCTGAATGTTGGCCGTCCACACTGTTGCAGCCCTGAACTGATTATCTACTGACAGATAGCAGTCTGGGATTGCAAGCTTCCAGAAAGTAGTTGCTGTTTTTCTGCTATTGATGCATCTGTCTTTCTCATGTTTCTGCACTGCAGGACTGAGGTGAGCTCAAAACATAACTCCAGGAATTCTGTGGGTAACCCCAGGTTTTTATCACAATCTGGTCCCATCATTCAGTGCTGAGAACCACAGCTCCTGTGTGCAGCTGGTCAGTGAATATCTAAAGGATGGTTGTTTTAATTCACTATCTATATCATTCACTCCTTGGTATCCCCATTACCTGATGAGTTACTGAGATTCCACACATATCAAAGAATCACCTACCTTGTTCTTAAAATAGAAGAGAAATTCTTTGGTCTGTGCAGCATCTATGTTTTTGGATACAAGACATGGAGGGACGTAAAAACAGTTCCTAGAGTGGAGTGCTGATATCCCACAATATAATGCAAAAATTTCCTACTGCCAGGTGGTGGTGTGGGGGACGTTGGGTTGCCCTCTTACAATACATCATATCCTTTCCTGATATTATCTAATCCTGAGGACACATTGCTTTGGTACACATGTGAACACGCTCTGCTGAAATAGCTATGTTGGTAGCAGTATGCCAGTAAAACGTTCTAGTGTAGAGAGAGGAAAATTATTGCTGCAGCACAAATAATAGGAAGTAGTAACAATCTCTGTGATTGAGTAAAGTTGTTACTCTTTTTAGGGCGTTTCCAGGCAGCGGACCGCACAGAATTGGTTAAAACCACAGAAAACATTGATGTGTTTATGGATGTGAAGGCTTTATGGACCACCAGGGATGTGGCACTCTCAGTGCACCGTGGTTTCAGGTATCTGATACGTCAATATTTTGATGAAGGAAAAGGGGCACTAGTGTGAAATCCATTTCTTTATCTCTTTGGGGAATGCTTTTAAAGAGAGCACCTCTGTCTACCTTGTAAATATCTCTTTTTGTCTCTTTGGCTAATGGAACAAATAATGGACGAGTGCAGAACTGAATAACAGCAAGCTTTTCAATTGAAGGATTAGCCCTAAACCAGGCATGGGCAAAAGGGCCTCCGCGGGGCTGCATCTGGCCTGCCAAGTGGATTGATCTGGCCCGTAGAGGCCCTGCCGCTCCTTACTTCCCCAGGCCAATTAGGGCCTGGGGGAGGGGGAAGTGTTTGAACCCTCGTCCGCCCTGCAAGGAAGATGTGGCACTTCTAAGTACTGTAGCAGGGTGGGGGTAGGATGGAGGAAACTTCACGCGCCCCCTCCACCCCCAAGCCCTGATTGGCCTGGGGACAGGAGAGTGCATGGAGCCCCCTCCCACCCTGCCAGGAGCGCATAGCACTTCTAAGTGCTGTGTGCTCCGGGTAGGGCAGAGGAAACTTGGTGTGCTTCTCCCACCCCCAATCATGGTCTGGGGGTGGGGGATCCTCTTTGCCCCCGCCTTCCTACTAAGCACCTATGCCCCTGATGGTGGTTTTTTTTTTAAGTGGCCCCTGGCAAAAAAATATTGCCCACCCCTGCCCTAAAGCTTCTCAGCACTCTAGCAAATTATAGTATATTTTTTATTGTTTTGACTGAGAAGAGTGCCTGCTTCAGAGGGAAGGGGAGGGGTAAAAGGTTGCAGCATAGCAACCATAATTTAAACTGTAGGAGAGACCATAAATATACATTTTAGAAAATAACAGATTTTCAGTTTGAATTAAATGCAGAGGCTGCTTGTCGTGTACCATTTGTAGAAAAAAGGCAAATGGACAAGCCTGGAAAGAGGAGGTTGTAACACCCTAAGTGAAGTGTAATGATCAACAGCAGTGTGATGAACTGGTATTTAGGTGCAGTCTTATTTCACATCTTCAGAAATGATTGTGATGAAGTTGTAAACTCATTGAAATTTGCAGATAGATCTAAAATGTAAAGAGATGCAAATGTTACTGAGGACAGAATTAATTCACAGGGATCTACAAGGGAAGAGATTAAAAAAATGAGATCTATATAACTGCTGTAATATATATGTGAAGAAAATATTTGAAAAATGTATAACACATGAGGGAAAAAATTGGAAATTCATAATGCTGAAAAAGGAGAAAAATGTAAATCAAATCAGGCATAAGTTTGCAATGTGATATACAGGTTGAACCTCCCTAGTCCAGCACACTCTGGTCTGGCAACATCAGTGGTCTGGCATGATTTTAGGTTAGCCAGATGTCCATTTATCATGGGTGTGGTTAATTTTCTTGCTGGTTCATGAAGTTCTGAGTGTTCTGTGCTGCTAAGCTCTAATTTACCCCTAAATGTCTTCTAAGAGCCAAGTAAGCAGTGCAAGTGTTGGTAATGCTTCTAGACAATGTTGACCTCCCATGATTCGGCAAATTCTCTGGTTTGGTACTGGTCAGGTCCAAAGAGTGCCAGACTAGAGAGGTTCAACCTATAGTAGCAAAAAGGCCAATGTAATTTTTTGGCTGTGCATAGGCATTATGAAATGGAATAGGAAAATAAGAGCTCCTCTCTCTCTGATTCTGTATTTCTATTGTGTGAACATTGTGCTTAATTCTGGACAATTGAGCAAGGAGTTCAAAGAAAAACAGAAAAAATTACCACTGGACTGTAGGGAATGACTTATCAGGAAAAAATGTGTGTAGGTTGGATTAAATATTAGTAAAATGGAATTGGGTGGCTACAACAGAGAGATGATTGTACATAGCTTTTATATAATATACGTCCTACAGGTACTGGAGTACTTTTATGATAGAGAGGACTGAACATTAGGAAAAATGTCCTTATTAAGACCTCTTAGGTTGTGAACAGGTCTCTCAAGTGAAGAGATGGAAGCCCTATTGCTTGGGACTTTTTAAACTATGTGGAACAGATCACTAGAAAATGACACTAGGAACCAATCTTCTTGCCCTGACAGAAATGGAGTGGATAACCTAATAGGTCTTCTCCATCTTCACCTTCTGAGAGTCTATGACAGTCTGTACCATTAACTCTTGCTGAGATTGCAGTTATTTACAAAGATTCTAACAATCGCTTATCCATTTAGGGTGATTGGACTCTTTACTCATGGCTTCCTTGCTGGCTATTCTGTATGGAACATTATTGTAATATACATTCTAGGAGGAAACCAGCTATCCACTCTCTCAAACTTGCTACAGCAGTACAAGACCTTAGCATATCCTGCTCAGAGTTTCCTTTATTTGTTGTTAGCTATCAGTACAGTTTCAGCCTTTGACAGGTAAAATGTTTATTTGTATAACTTATATAATTTGTATACAATGGTTTCTTCTAAAGTAATTTAATCATAAAATTTCTTTCTGTGGCACTTCACTCACCTGGGATAGAATGTGCTATTGGTTGCTTTGTTTATTGCAGTTAGTTGTTTGTTTACTTGCTCTGCCTTGACAAAAGAAGATTTATCATCTGTATGCAATATATTTTTACATTAAGAGAATGTAGAAGATGCATATACATGCATTTTGCAAAAATAATAGAGCAGAGTACAGGCAGTCCCCGGGTTACATGGATCCGACTTGCATCGAATCCCTACTTACAAACGGGGTGAGGCAACCCCACACTAGCTGCTTCCCCCCCAGCAGACCAGGGAGACGCGAAGCTAGCGCCACCCCCACCCCAGATCAGGGAGATGCGGAGCAGCTTTTCTCAGCAGACACCTCAGCTTGAGAATAAAGGACTGAGGGAAGTGAGGTGGGGGAGAATAAAACTGAACTCTGGAGAAATGTTTGGCTAGAGTTTCCCCTAAAATATGTACCAGTTCCGACTTACATACAAATTCAACTTAAGAACAAACCTACAGTCCCTATCTTGTACGTAACCCGGGGACTGCCTGTACTGAAGGAGACTGTTGTTTACTTTATTCTTGCACTGCATTAAATGAGACTTTCTTCCTTGAGTGGCTGTGTGTGTTTCCACTTATGGGTACTGTGCCACTTTGTGGTAGATCCTTTCTCTTGCTAATTAAGCTAGAGTGCTTTTATGCCCCCTGCCCCTCATGTCAAGCTCACTGGTGTTCTGAACGCAAGGCCTATATAGGAAGGGAACATCTTTAGCACCAACCATGTGCCTGGTTGGATGTGAACTACTCAGGTCTCTTTGGAGTGTCTTGTTTCTTAGGTGTCAAGTATCAGAGGGGTAGCCATGTTAGTCTGAATCTGCAAAAGTGGCGAGGAGTCCTGTGGCACCTTATGGACTAAGCTTGTGCTCCAACACTTCGGTTAATCTATAAGGTGCCACAGGACTCTTTGCCACTTTTGTTTCTTAGGAATAGTTAGATTAGCTAATTAGGTAGAGTTTGAGAGTTAGTGTTTTTCCTGGGTTATGAGAGAAATTAAGAAATAGAGGAAGCTAGGATTCAAGAAGTATATTTTCAGCATGGCTGTCTGTTTGCTATCCAATAAGCACATGCAGTGCCTGGGCTGTCTCTTAGAGTGTTTGATTTGTCAAACCTTTATTCCCAAAGACCATAAGAATAGGGAGACTTGTTTGACCTTCCCCTTCCAAAGGAAGGTCTTGAGGCTAGAGCAGGGGTGGGCAAAAGGCCTCAGTGGGCTGGATCCGGACCGCCAAGCAGGTGGATCCAGCCCACGGAGTCCCTGCCGCACCCCTCCCCCAGGATAGTTACAGTCTGGGGGCAGGGAGAAGTGCATGAAGTTTCCTCTGTCCTGCCAGGAGCATGCGGCATTTAGAAGTGCCACTTGCTCCTGGCAGGATAGGAGGGGCTTCACACACTCCCCCTGTCTGCAAGCCTTGATTGGCCTGGGCACCTAGGGGTAACCTGTGTAGGGGCAAAGGTACTCCCCCGACCCAAGACCAATCAAGGTCTGGGGCACCTGGACGTATCCTGGCCCCGCCCCTTCTGCTTGAGGCCCCACCCCTTCTGGTGCAGCCTGGGGCCACTTCAACCATTTCTGAAGTGGTCCCCAGCAAAATATTATTGCTTATCTTTGGGCTAGACCCTCTGGACCTGATCAGGCCTTGGATCCTATCTCTAAGAGGCCAGTCTCTGCCCTGTGACTACTACCACCACCACCACCACCAACAATAACAACTGAATGGCTTCATGAAGCTGCAACCTGTGTTCCTTCTAACATTTTCCATCCTTGAGCGGGTTGAATTTTATTTTGGGTGGGTTGACATTTCTTATGTGTAGTACCAATATTAAGATTGTGTGTAGATGTGCACCACCAGTACAAAAAACCTAGATATCATATATATTTTAGAGTGCATCTGTCTATCTTCCAAGTTTTTTTATTAAGAGCTCCTCTTAAACGGGAAGAGCTAGGGCCATCAAATTTGGTAGGCAGCTTCCTCTTCTCCTAATTTAAAGTAAGCTATGGATTTAGTTGTGCCAGGACAACTGGAAGCCCCAGGAAAAGGACAGTTTTTCATAATATGCAAAGGGAGGGGCTGCTGTTCAGAGAGACACGATTTAAGAGTGGCTACGGGGGGCACTGTCACAGATTGGCTCAGCAGAGACAGTTTTCAGGTGCATAAATGGTCCTTAAAATATCAGTTCATGCCTGTTTGCAATGAGGTCTAACATAACACAAGAACATAACATAACATAAGAATGGCCATACTGGGTCAGATCAAAGGTCCATCTAGCCTAAGTGTCCTGTCTTCCGACAGTGGCCAGTATCAGGTGCCCCAGAAAGGGTGGACCGAAGATAATGATCAAGCAATTTATCTCTTGCCATCTTTCTCCAGCCTTTGACAAACAGAGGTCATGGGCAGCATTCCTTACCCCCTGGCTAATATCCTTTTATGGACCTAACCCCCATGAATTTATCTAGCTCTTTTTAAAACACTGTTATAGTCCTAGCCTCCTGCTCTGGCAAGGAGTTCCACAGATTGACTGTGCGCTGTGTGAAGAAGAACTTTCTTTTATTAGTTTTAAACCTGCTACCCATTAATTTCATTTGGTGTCCTCTAGTTCTTATATTATGGGAACAAGTAAATAAATTTTCTTTATTCACCCTCTCCACACCACTCATAACATTGAGACTCTGAAGTTCTGTGTGCCTACCTGGCCCCGTGTGGAACAGGAAGCATTTCTGAGAGTGCCACCATAGAGTTCCTCAATTTCAGTCTCCTTCCTAGCAGCCTAAATTTGGCCTTCAGGACATCTCTTCTACCCTTCCCTATGTCATTGGTACCCACATGTACCACGACCACCGGCTCCTCCCCAGCACTACACATAAGTCTATATAGATGCCTTGAGAGATCTACAACCTTTTCACCAGGCAGGCAAGTCACCATACGGTTCTCCCAGTCATCACAAACCCAACTATCTCGATGGTTAGAAACATAATCATGCACTACTAACACCTGCCTCTTCCTAAAAACTGACGTTCCCTCTCCCTGAGAGGTATCCTCAGTGCAAGAGGATACCGTAATATCCTTTGGAAGGAGGCTCCCAACTATGGGATGGTTTCTCTCTGCTCCCATTGAATGCTCTCTTCCCTTGAGCCTTTTATCCTCCTTAACAGCGCTGGGGCTGTCGGACTGGAGGTGGGACGGTACTACAGTGTCCCAGAAAGCCTCATCAACATACCTCTCTGCCTCCCGTAGCTCCTCCAGTTCAGCCATCCTGGCCTCCAAGCCGAATTTGGTCTCTGAGGGTCAGGAGCTCCTTGCGCCTGGTGCACACATATGCCACCCGCCCACAGGGCAGGTAATTATATGTTTCACTCAACACAATAAACAGGATAACCCCCACTCTGCTGCTGGGGTTCTGTCTGCATTTTCTCCTATGAAGAAATTTGATTATAGACACGGTTTGTATTTAAATGTTTGGGATATAGATTATAAAAGTTTTATCTCTACTTGTTCCAAAGCAGGCAGAGACAGTATATACCTGTTAGATGTTCTCCATCCTTCTCCACTAGGGCAAGACTCTGATGTATGCCTTTTTCCTCTCCTTTGATGCTGAAGGTAGGAAGAAAAATATATCAGAATAGGCATATCAACAGTGATTTACTGATCTCCTGCAACTGTCCAGCAGAGTGTGTGTCTTTCTCTGGTTCCAGACCCGCTGTCTCAGCTGGATAGAAAGATATTTCACCCAGACCTACATTCTCTTCACAGAATGGTGTGAGTGATTGGATATTGACTTTGCTCCAGAGATGCTGAAGGTAGGAAGAAAAATATATCAGAATAGGCATATCAACAGTGATTTACTGATCTCCTGCAACTGTCCAGCAGAGTGTGTGTCTTTCTCTGGTTCCAGACCCGCTGTCTCAGCTGGATAGAAAGATATTTCACCCAGACCTACATTCTCTTCACAGAATGGTGTGAGTGATTGGATATTGACTTTGCTCCAGAGCAGTCATGTTCTTTGCCTATGCAGGACATACTAATAAACTCTAGAAAACAGTTCACTGGAAGCTGTTAAATTGGACAAGATTCAAACACGGAGGAAGGCAAAACCTGATTCCCCTATATCTGCTTCCATTCCTTGTACAGGCAGTCCCCGAGTTACGTGGATCCGACTTATGTCAGATCCGCAGTTACGAACGGAGCCCTTCCTCTCCCTGGTCTCCAGCAGACCAGGGAGAGGAAGCAAAGCGGCGGAACACGTGGGCAGCGGACAGGGCTGTCCGCTGCCCACGCG